AGTGTTTATATATAGTCAGTGTTTATATACAGTCAGTGTTTATATACAGTCAGTGTTTATATATAGTCAGTGTTTATATACAGTCAGTGTTTATACACAGTCAGTGTTTATATACAGTCAGTGTTTATACACAGTCAGTGGTTGTGGTTATATATAGTCAGTGTTTATATATAGTCAGTGTTTATATACAATCAGTGTTTATACACAGTCAGTGGTTGTGTTATATATTTATATAAAACACCTTCATCTTATATGTTTTATTTACAGTTTAAATCCACTTCAGAGTGACTTCCGTGGATGAGTCCAGATCCACAGATCCAGTCCAGTGTTTGACAGTGATCCAGGGAGTCCCGATCCACGGAGCCCGTGCTCCGGGGTTTGTTTGTGTGTCCGCTCGCAGCCTGGAGGCCCTGGTTGTTGTGTGTGTGTGTTTGTGTGTGTTTGTGTTTGTGTGTTTCCTCCTCTCGTGGACTATCACGGATCCGTCTCGTCCTCATCCGGACCCGAGCAGCGGCTCCTTCATGGGACCGTGTCCCGCAGCCGGCCTCCTCTCTCCGGGATGTGACCGTGTGGCGGCTGCGCTCCGCTGAGCTGGGAGCACGTTGACTGGAGTCGCCTCCTCGCTCCTCCTCGCTCCTCCTGGTCTGGACCTTGTAGCAGTTTCTCCGGGGTTGTCGGGCCCCATGGAGTGTACATGAACCGGCTCGGATAGGGATTCCTACCGGGGTAAGTGGACGCGGGGAGGCGGCTCCTCTTGCTGGGATTTGGACCCTCTTGTTTTTGTGAAACGCGGGATAGCCTGTTAGCTGTCCCGGGTTAGCTCAGCAGGCTAGCTGCCGTCTTTGTCTGGAGAGACCGGGGAGCTAAGGGATGTGCGTCCATCATCGGACACGTCCCCGCCTGACCTGCTCGTTTCCATGTGTCTCTGAGTGAGACACCGCTGCTCCGCGACGACTGCTTCAGTTTAAAGATGTTTGTTAAAGATGTTTGTTAAAGATGTTCGTTAAAGATGTTTGTTAAAGATGTTCATCAGAGATCTGCATCAACCACATTTATTCAACATGATTACAGATGTTTCTCCGTCGTAATGGTCGCTCGCGTTGGTTATCAGCGACAGTAAAACACGGTTTCCGTCCCGTGTCCTAACTGTTGTCAGATCACA